CCCGCAGCATAGCGTGGGCAGTAACCTAGTGTCTTTTAAATTTGAGATTTTATATCCGAGATATATTTTATAATAGAGATACCAAAAATCTATAGAAAGCGGACTAGTTATTTATGACATCTACAATAGTATATATATAAAAAAACCATAATAATTTTCGTAAATGGTATAACTAGATTTCTGGTTTTGATATGTATACGGTTTGCATTTTTCCTATAAAAAAAAAATTATAACAACTAATATTAGAATAAAATATGCAAAAAACTTCAAATATAAAAAAAACTTGTTTTGGCTTTAATAAATTAGATTCAAAATAAAAAATACGATAAATGTGAAACGTATTATTAGTTGTATTATGTTTTATTTCAGCATTACATTATGCGGGAACTGAATTCTGTTATAAGAATTTATATGTGAATTCGGAAAACACACTTTGGTCCTAAGAATTATTTATAAATCTGATACAAATTGAGAAATATATGGCGAAATTGGACTTATATTGATATTGAATCGAATATACAAAGAGATTTCGAATGAAATGTGTTTACAATCTAGACTATAGTCTTAGGTCTCTCGTGGATAGAAAAAGTTAGTGAATTATGCTCGGACTCCTTGTATTTATAGCTCGATCCAGCTCCTTCGTCTAGCTCTGCATATCTTGGGTTAGCTCCGCGTATGTCGGGCATCTTCGGGATTGATCATCTGAAAATATCGCGGCTGCGGTTGAGTCAAAGATCTAATTGACTCTTTAAACCAGAATATCCGAAAACTATTCTGAGTACTGAAGAGATTATGAACCAAAGATTCGGAATTCCTACGGTTTATTTAGAAAAAACAAAATAAAACAAAAACTTTGAAGCCTAAACGAATAAGTTCCAGCTATATACAACCAAGTTTTGATTAAAAGATTCTACTTTTACAATTTATACCAAAACACACTCTAAAATTGGTCTAAAAATCAAAAGCTCGTAACAGCCAGCTATTAGACTGATAAATAAAAAATTAATCTTAATATTCCTGTAAAGAAACTTCCCCCCCCTCCTCCCTCGAATAAAATATCTGTTAATAAATTCTCGTAGGAGGTTGAA